CACACACACACACACACACACACTCAGCATGAAGAATCAACTGTGACGGAGCTCAGAGAGTCTCGTACCAAATCATGTTCATTTATGCCATACCAGATGTGACGTTTAAAAAAACAAACAAACTTTATTTGTATAATTTTTGACAAAAACAACAACATACAATCACATCTAAACAAAAACAGAACAATCGTTTGGTCACTTATGCCTTATTAAATAAAAAACATTGATGAAAGTATACGTCACAATCCATTTTTCCCAATATTGTTCATAATGTCCAGCCATTCAGACTGTGTTCTTGCTAATATCTTTAAAAGGTACTTGGGTAACACTTTACTTGAAGGGCTGTGCATAAGACTGACATGTGTTTCATCATCAAAATGAGCCCAGATTAATTGTAGTAAATGAGCAATCACCAAAAATAAAGCGTATTCCTCGTGTTTCGTCTGCAGACGTGACTCTGCCGTCAGATCTGGCCCGTTCCTCCGGCTCCTCGGTGCTGAAGGACGTCACGGCAGATCCCCGGAGCTCGAGCGGAGCAGCGCTGCGTGTGTATCGGGAGATGCTGCACATCTACGAGAAGCTGCAGGTAATGATCATTCACATCTGTGTGATATGAGTGTGTCAGTCAGAGAAAAATGTAAAGAACTGACATGTTTATATTTCAGCCTGTTGCAAAGGCGGCATTTCTCATTTGATTTAGTTTAAATTGATGTATTAAAATAGCTAAAACTAAAAATGATTATCAAAAAAGAGGTTCTCAATGGTTACACAAATCTGTTTTCATCTTTGTTTTGTGTTTGTCTCACTGTCGTGTTTAAAATGTGAGAATGAGTGAATGAAGTCTGTAGTTTCCTGTTCTTCAGAGATCCATTCATTGGTGCCTGAATATTGGTTAAAAATATCACTTTATATTATTAGCCTCGAGCTGTCATAATGTTATTGGTTGTTGTGTGAGTGTGTGTGTGTGATGGGTAGGTTTAGGGGTCGGGTTAGTGTGTGTTTGTGTGTATGTTTAGGGGTTGGGTTAGTGTGTGTGATGGGCAGGTTTATGGGTCGGGTCAGTGTGTGTGTTTTTGTGGGTCGGGTTAGTGTGTGTGTGGTGTGTGTGTGTGTGTGTGTGTGTGTTTTATGGGTCGGGTTAGTGTGTGTGTGTGTGTTTTTATGGTCGGGTTAGTGTGCGTGTGTGTGTGTGTGATGTGTATGTTTATGGGTCGGGTCAGTGTGTGTGTGTGTTTATGGGTTGGGTTAGTGTGTGTGTGTTTTTATGGGTCGGGTTAGTGTGTGTGTGTGTGTATGTTTAGGGGTCGGGTTAGTGTGTGTGTGGGTGTGTGTGAGAGATGGGCAGGTTTATGGTCGGGTTAGTGTGTGTGTGTGTGTGTGTGTGTATGTATGTTTATGGTCGGGTTAGTGTGTGTGTGTGTGTGTATGTATGTTTAGGGGTCGGGTTAGTGTGTGTGTGTGTGAGAGATGGGCAGGTTTAGGGGTCGGGTTAGTGTGTGTGTATGTTTAGGGGTCGGGTTAGTGTGTGTGTGTGTGTGAGAGATGGGCAGGTTTATGGGTCGGGTTAGTGTGTGTGTGTGTGTGTGTGTGTTGTGTGTATGTATGTTTAGGGGTCGGGTTAGTGTGTGTGTGTGTGAGAGATGGGCAGGTTTATGGGTCGGGTTTAGTGTGTGTGTGTGTGAGAGATGGCAGGTTTATGGGTCGGGTTAGTGTGTGTGTGTGGTGTGTGTGTGTGTGTGTGTGGTGTGTGTGTGTGTGTGTGTGTGTGTGTGTATGTATGTTTAGGGGTCGGGTTAGTGTGTGTGTGTGTGAGAGATGGGCAGGTTTATGGGTCGGGTTAGTGTGTGTGTGTGTGAGAGATGGGCAGGTTTATGGGTCGGGTTTAGTGTGTGTGTGTGTGTGTGTGTGTGTGATGTGTATGTTTATGGTCGGGTCAGTGTGTGTGTGTGTTTATGGGTTGGGTTAGTGTGTGTGTGTTTTTATGGGTCGGGTTAGTGTGTGTGTGTGTGTATGTTTAGGGGTCGGGTTAGTGTGTGTGTGGGTGTGTGTGAGAGATGGGCAGGTTTATGGGTCGGGTTAGTGTGTGTGTGTGTGTGTGTGTGTATGTATGTTTATGGGTCGGGTTAGTGTGTGTGTGTGTGTGTATGTATGTTTATGGGTCGGGTTAGTGTGTGTGTGTGTGAGAGATGGGCAGGTTTAGGGGTCGGTTAGTGTGGTGTGTGTGTGTGTGTGTGTGTGTGTGTATGTTTAGGGGTCGGGTTAGTGTGTGTGTGTGTGTGTGAGAGATGGGCAGGTTTAGGGGTCGGGTTAGTGTGTGTGTGTGTGTGTGTGTGTGTGTGTGTGTATGTTTATGGGTCGGGTTAGTGTGTGTGTGTGTGTGTGTATGTTTAGGGGTCGGGTTAGTGTGTGTGTGTGTGTGTGAGAGATGGGCAGGTTTAGGGGTCGGGTTAGTGTGTGTGTGTGTGTGTGTGTGTGTGTGTGTATGTTTATGGTCGGGTTAGTGTGTGTGTGTGTGTGTGTGTGTGTGTGTGTGTGTGTATGTATGTTAGGGGTCGGGTTAGTGTGTGTGTGTGTGAGAGATGGGCAGGTTTATGGGTCGGGTTAGTGTGTGTGTGTGTGTGTGTATGTATGTTTAGGGTCGGTTAGTGTGTGTGTGTGTTTATGGGTTGGGTTAGTGTGTGTGTGTGTGTGTGTGATGGACAGGTTTATGGGTCGGGTTAGTGTGTGTGTGTGTGAGAGTGAGAGATGGGCAGGTTTATGGGACGGGTTAGTGTGTGTGTGTGTGTGAGAGATGGGCAGGTTAGGGGTCGGGTTAGTGTGTGTGTGTGTGTGTGTGTGTGTGTGTGTGTATGTTTAGGGGTCGGGTTAGTGTGTGTGTGTGTTTATGGGTTGGGTTAGTGTGTGTGTGTGTGTGTGTGATGGGCAGGTTTATGGGTCGGGTTAGTGTGTGTGTGTGTGTGTGTGTGAGAGTGAGAGATGGGCAGGTTTAGGGGTCGGGTTAGTGTGTGTGTGTGTGTGTGTGTGTGTGAGAGATGGGCAGGTTTAGTGTAAGGGGACAGTCAGAATATACAGTTTGTACAGTATAAAAAAACATTGTCTATGAAATGTCCCTATATAACATGAAAACCCACCATGTGTGTGTGTGTGTGTTGAGGCGGAGCGGCTCAGTCAGCAGGTGTGGGCGGCAGAACTGTGTGAGCGAGAGCGTGATGTCCAGCGGAGAGAAAACACACTCGTGCAGCAGCAGGACAGCGCTCACAGACTCCGAGTCCTGGAGGAGGAGATGCTCAGACGAGTGCAGGTCACAACCGCACCGTATTATACTACTGTGTGTGTGTGTGTGTGTGTGTGTGTGAGAGAAGACTAATGCTCAGACGCGTACAGGTCACAACCTTTATTACTGATTATACCATGGTCTGGGTGAATACTCGATTCTGATTGGCTGCAGGGTGTCCGTTAAAAAGTGATAGAGGACACCTAGTAAAGTAGTTCTGGTGAAACTGCCTGTTTACCATTCGAAATGAATAAATAAATGCGCTGCCTACAACGGCTGTGAGTAACCATAGCAACAGGCAGTCACATGCTCTATCATCTTACGTTAGATATTATAGCCTAATACAACAATGAGCGACTTCGTGCTATTTCTTTTAACATTTATGGAGAATATGGCAACTTTGACGACTGGTATGCTGCTGAAGAAAGAAAAAATGTAAATAAAACGGAGAAAATTACACCGCTGCTGCTCTGCTCCATTGAACGCTATTGGTAACGACGTAACTTGCGACCATAGTTGGATAACGATGCTTTCGGGAAACGCACCCCTGAATGAGACCCTGCGGGGAGTTTTTACGCAGCTGTCCAGACAACCAAGGCAGGAGAAGGCTGAACGTTACAGCGTTTCAAGCCTAAGGAGCCTGAGGCAAATGACCCTCTCTTTGATCTGATTAATTTATTGCCCTCTATAACGCAAATCGCTGGACCTCAGAGCTAATTGTATTTTTATTGTTGTTTGATTAATTGTTTTATGTGTAATAAAAAAAAAACTATGCCTACCTACCTTTGTGTTTCATGAAAAAAAAAAAAAAAGCATTTGTGAACCTGAAGGGATACGAGCTAAGCGGACTATAAATATCCCCGGTTGCTAAATAAACAGTCAGGCAAGGCAAGTTATTATTTGTAAAAACTAGATTTAGCCTAATTAAAATATAAACTAATGTTTTAAAAATGTTTTATTTGGCAAGTGACCATGGTATAAGCGGGTTAATGCCCTCCGAGGTGTCCATTGTCAGGTTTTAATGGACTTCGGCGGAGGCAACCGTCCTCCGCTGCGCGTCGGCCGGTTTACGCCTCGCCGTCGTCCATTAAAACCTGACAATGGACACCTCGTCGGGCATTAACCCTTACATATACTACTGTAATAACCCGACCCGAGCATGTTTATAACACTTCAGTAAAACACTGACGTTCACTTCCAGAAGCTGTCACAAAAAGAATGTGAAACACGCATGTAGGTTACATCATTTGAAAGATAATTTAAGTTTATTTTCTTCAGCCCTACAGTACCATCTGTGACAGATGACCGAATCGATGCAAATGTGAGACTGACTCCAAATGTTGTGTTGTTCCTACAGCAATATCAGCGAGAGACACATGAGCTGGAAGCTGCGCTCAAGCAGAAGAACAAAGACAATAAGAGGATGAAGTCCAGCTTTGATTCCATGAAGGAATTAAATGATTCTATGAGGAAACAGGTGTGTAATACATACATATATATATATATATGAAGAGTTCAGATGCAAAAGCCTCTAAATGCCATTTGAAATTTTCTTCTAAAATGACCATTTTTATCAAGCTTGTATATTTAAGTTCAGTGATTTCACTTAAATGACAATTAATAGGTAATTATCATTGCCATTTAAGTGAAATTACTGAACTTAAATATACAAGCTTGATAAAAATTATCATTTTAGAAGAAAATTTCAAATGGCACTTAGAGGCTTTTGCATCTGAACTCTTCATATATATATTAGGGCTGTCAGTTTAACGCGTTATTAAAGGGTTAGTTCACCCAAAAATGAAAATTAAGTCATTAATTACTCACCCCCATGCTGTACCAACCCCGTAAGACCTTCGTTCGTCTTCGGAACACAAATGAAGATATTTTTGATTAAATTTGAGAGCTGTATAACTACCACATTGGCTCCTAAGGGACTGCCTCTTGACGGCCCAGAAAGTCAATGAAGAAAATGTTTAAATATTCCATGTGACTACAGTGGCTCTACTATAAGTTTATCAAGCGACGAGAATACTTTTTGTGCGAAAAAACAAACAAAAATAACGAGTTTATTCGACTATTCCTTTTCTTCCTTGTTGGCCTGAAACGAGACTTCAAGAGATTTCCACGACGCATGCGCGACTGAACTGAAGTAGTTGAAGGAGATCGCAATTCTCGCGCATGCGTCGTGGAAATCTATTGAAGTCTCGTTTCAGGCCTACAAGGAAGAAAAGAAATAGTCGAATAAACTCGTTATTTTTGTTTGTTTTTTCGCACAAAAAGTATTCGCGTCGCTTGATAAACTTATAGTTGAGCCACTGTAGTCACATGGAATATTTAAACATTTTCTTCATTGACTTTCTGGGCCGTCAAGAGGCAGTCCCTTAGGAGCCAATGTGGTAGTTATACAGCTCTCAAATTTAATCAAAAATATCTTCATTTGTGTTCCGAAGACGAACGAAGGTCTTACGCCGCCTTCACACTGGCAGTTGAAATCAGCTCCGATGCGGCTGCGAAACGACCGGAAGTCATTCATTTCCTATGGAGATTCGCAGACCGCATGCGAATGGGTCCGAAACGGGTCCGACCGAGTGCGGTGCGAAGAAAATCGTGTCCGTTGGTCATCCGGATGCGTTCAAAAATTTGAACTCGTGCGAAAAGCTACGGACGGTTCCTATCCGACAATTCCAGCGGAAGTTGACCGTTGCTATGGTACTGATAAACAAACCTGAATTATTAACTTTTAATAAAATAAATAATGATTTTATAACGATAAGTTGTGATGTCATTTTTTATTTTCATGACTTTCTAACGTTTATAAGGGCAGTTAATACAATTAAATTGAAGGTAGACATTGAACTATTGACCACTAGATCACATTTTTTAGCCGACCTGACATGTCAACGTCCTGAGCAACTTTCCTCACGCAGCATAACCCTAATCAGAGAGATCATACAGAACTGACAGAATCAAACTTTAATCTCTCCGCCATTTTTGTTCTACCCGCGTCCGACGCTTTTCACTGTGTAGTACGACGTCCGTTGGGAACGTATTGCGTATTACGGAGCTGATTTCAACTGCCAGTGTGAAGGCAGCGTTACGGGGTTGGTACAGCATGGGGGTGAGTAATTAATGACTTAATTTTCATTTTTGGGTGAACTAACCCTTTAACGGCGTTAACGCAAAACCATTTTAACGCCGTTCATTTTTTTATGGCGCGATTAACGGTCTGCGCGACTGAACTGAAGTAGTTGAAGGAGATCGCAATTCTCGCGCATGCGTCGTGGAAATCTATTGAAGTCTCGTTTCAGGCCTACAAGGAAGAAAAGGAATAGTCGAATAAAGTCATTATTTTTGTTAGTTTTTTCACACAAAAAGTATTCGCGTCGCTTGATAAACTTATAGTTGAGCCACGGTAGTCACTTGGAATATTTAAACATTTTCTTCATTGACTTTCTGGGCCGTCAAGAGGCAGTCCTTTGGGAGCCAATGTGGTAGTTATACAGCTCTCAAATTTAATAAAAAATATCTTCATTTGTGTTCCGAAGACGAACGAAGGTCTTACGGGGTTGGTACAGCATGGGGGTGAGTAATTAATTACTTAATTTTCATTTTTGGGTGAACTAACCCTTTAACGGCGTTAACGCAAAACCATTTTAACGCCGTTCATTTTTTTATGGCGCGATTAACGGTCTTTTTGTCCTAGCAAACTTTGTAGTTTTTTCACATGCTTTTGCAACCGGACGCGGCATGCGTCCTGATCCATTTCGGCGTCTCGCGCTCACCATCCACTCAAAGCCGGCTCGCAAGCCGAAACGTGTGTGTGCGGCGTGCCTGTTGTTTTGTTTACGGTCTTGATCCGCTTGCGCTTTGGTCGAAGAAGCAACAAAACGTCCTTTCGTCCCAAAACGTCCGAACACTCGTTTCGGCTTGCGATCCGGCCGAATAGTAACGTTACGTTTTGAGTCGATGACGAGCGCGAGACGCCGAAATGGATGCCCTAAAATTCTGAATGGAAAGTTTACTTTTAAAAAGTTGCCATATTGTCCCATTGACAAGACCAAGTGATCTGTGTGTTTTGTCGTTGTGAACTGAGCGATCATCATCGCAGCACGTCCAGTCTGAAACACCACTTGATGATGGCCAAGCAAACACACACACACACAGATGATGCAAATTCTCCACCCCCTCGTCAATATCAGGGCCTCGTCAGTATTTCTTTCACCCTTTTATTGATAGACAGTGTTACATTGTGTGAGAGATTATTTATATATGTTAGTGTGAAATTGAACACTATTCCAATGTTATTTTCAATAATAATTTTCTCACTTTTCCATATTGATAAGAGCATTAAAATGAGAAAAAAATAATGTAACAAAAAGAAATCAAGAGACATTTAGAATAGATAAAAAATGTGCGATTAATCGCGAGTTAACTACGACATTAATGCGATTAATCGCGATTAAATATTTTAATCGTTTGACAGCACTAATATATATATGTTGATATGTTGATTGAACTACAGTTGTGTTAAACTTGTGCTATATAAATAAAACTTGACATAACTTGATATATATGAAGAGTTCAGATGCAAAAGCCTCTAAGTGCAATTTGAAATTTTCTTCTAGAATGGTCATTTTTATCAAACTTGTATATTTAAGTTCAGTAATTTCACTTAAATAACAATTAATAGGTAATCTTCATTGCCATTTAAGGGAAATCACTAAACTTAAATATACAAGCTTGATAAAAATTATCATTTTAGAAGAAAATTTCAAATGGCACTTAGAGGCTTTTGCATCTGAATATATATATATATTTATCTCACACGTCTTATCGCTTTCTCTCTCTGTCGCGTCTTCTTGTGCTTGAATGGTTAAATTGGGCCAGTGCTGCATCATCACAAAAGTTTATCATTTGCACATGTTTTTAATGGTACAATATTTAAGTTTTCGCTGCTATAAGTGGCGTTTTCAACACAATAACTAAGACGAAGCTTGCATGCCGCTATGATGGAGGGTGAAGCGATGGGGATGGTTTTGTTTTCAGCATCCCAGTGTCCCTTAAAAAAATAAATAAATAAACAAGCATAGATATTCAGGTCTTTTAAAAAGGGCTTGAATTTATTTTGTTAAAGATGTTTTCTAGATAATATTCCATGTTATTCCCTCCGGTCGGATGAGTGTTATTTATTTCACCAACACTTTGTCGCCTATCCACAGTAGCAAGCTTGATTTACGTTATTTACGCGCATTTTCACATTACATTAAAGGAGTAGTTCACTTTAAAAAGACTGATAATTTACTCACCCCCATGTCATCAAAGATGTCCACGTCTTTCTTTCTTCAGTCGAAAAGAAATTAAGGTTTTTGATGAAAACATTCCAGGATTTTTCTCCATATAATGGACTTCAATGGGGTCCAAAAGACAGTTTGAGTGCAAACTGTTCAAAGAGCTTTAAACTATTCCAGACGATGAATAAGGGTCTTATCAAGCAAAACGATCGCTCATTTAATAAATAAATAACAAAGTTTTAGTTTTATAAGCTCAAATGCTCGCCTTGGTCTGTTCTGTGATGCGCGTTCGTGACTCTCCTGTTCGAACTCGTTCATCAAAATGAACGAATCTTTTTCCGAGTCAATTTGTTCATTTTGTTTGTTGAATGAACCAAATGACACGAAAAAAGATCCGTTCATTTTGATAAACGAGTTTCACACTGTATATACTGTGTACAGCGCTGAGCAGTGTTGATGTTACAGTGTGTGTGTTTCTCTCTGTAATGACGAGTAACGAGTTTGTTTGCTCAGATTAACGAGGTCAGTGAGCAGAACAGGAAGTTGGAATGTCAGTCTCAGAAAGTTCAAGCTCGGCTGGAGAACCTGCAGGTACGTGATGAGCACTTGCACAGTTTTATATCAATGTTGAAAACAGTTTTTGTTGCTTCATATTTTATATCTCACAATTAAAGTCAGAATTGTGAGATAAAAAGTCGCAATTACCTTTTTTATTTTTCATTTATTTTTTATTTGGCGGAAACAAGCTTCCATACGATTTTAAAAAAATTCATATTTTCATAGTAATTCATATTTTTAATCACCAAGGACACATTAATTTGATCAAAAGTGATAGTTTGAAATAAATGCTGTTCTTTCAAACTTTCTATTCATCAAAGAATCCTGAAAAATAAATTGTATTGCATGGTTCAACAAAACCAGTTTGAAACTTCAACATTGATAATAATCATAAATGTATCTTGAGCATGAAATTATCATATGAGAGTGATTTGTGTAGGATCATGTGACACTGAAGACTGGAGTAATGCTGAAAATACAGCTTTGATCACAGGAATAAATTACACTCTACTGTATATTCACATAGAAAACAACAGCTGGAATAATATTTCACAATTTATTGTATTTTTAGTCAAATAAATGCAGCCTTGATGAGCAGAAAAGACTTTTAAAAACATTAAAACATCTTAATGATGTGTATATATATATATATATATATATATAGGATGAACCCTCTTGTTTTTGAGGGGGTCCTAATTTACAATACAATACAGAACAAGGGACAAATCAAACACATTACAATAAAATATTAAGACATAAATAATACCACAATCAACACACAACAATAACCAAAAACCAATAAGTATTTAGGTGAATACAACCAATTGATTGCCACACAGAGGCTAAAAACAAATACTTGCCAGCAAAAACATAACATAGAAAGAAAATAGTGAGTTGTAAATTATATACAGGTATAGCATCATCTGCTCAAAATAAGACAAACTATTTTTAAATATGTAAAATGATCATAAAGATGTTTAATGATCGGTAGTGAATATATATTTAGAAACTGACGCGTGTTTTTGTTTTCACAGAGAAAGTACGAGTCGTTCACGACACACAGGGGCCGAGAAACTGCTGTTCCCAAAGCCTGCAAACCACAAAATCCTCCGTCAAGTAAAGCAGCCGGAAAGGTGAGTCCAGCGCAAACCGTCAACGACACTGTTCTCGGGTCTCGGTCGTGGGCTTGATTTAATTAGCGTGTGTGCTGTGATTGGACCATTCAATCAGAACAGTCAGTAATGGCAGTGGCTACCGAAGATAAGTGAAGCTCCTTTAACATCATTAACGAAACATTCTGGCGATGTTCTTCAAGTAAAAATAGTGTTTGTTCCCGAACCTCAAGGAAAATCCATATCATGACCTTTAACCCCCAGGGATCAGATAAATGTCTACTTTTATTTGTGTACACTCATAAAATAAAATAAACGCATAAAATCTCTCTCAGTGTGATCGCGACAGAAAATGAACTGTAACTTAGCGAATACTTGCCACACAGACATGTGTCTTTAAATTAAGTCATTAATATCAAAAACAAATATTCTAAGGAAGATTACCTATTAATTGTCATTTAAGTGAAATTACTGAACTTAAATATACAAGCTTGATAAAAATGGTCATTTTAGAAGAAAATTTCAAATGGCATTTAGAGGCTTTTGCATCTGAACTCTTCATTTATACATCAATCATTAAACGTTTTAATTAGACGTTCATCTGATGTTTTTTTTAAATTACTACTTGTTTTAAAACCTAAACCCCATAATGTTTTTGTAATCTGGGTATTTGTCAGGCCGCTGTCCTCGGGCCGTCAGCGAAGCTGCTGGCGGTTCTGTTGGATTGGGTCGTGGACGGTCAGCTCGCAGAGGTCAGAGACGGGTCAAACCTCACGAACACGGACACACTACGCCCTGCACTGCATGAGAGATGTGCCAAGGTTAGTCATTAGAAATTGCTGGATAAAGTCATTATTTTTGCACAATTAACCCTCTGAGGTTGTTCGTTTAACAGTCACACTCTTTTTGACCCAAAGGGCGGGATTCATATTTAAAAAAGAAAATCATAATTTTTTTTTTTTTTACTTGTTTTTTATAATATTTTTTTTCTTTTCTTTTTTGGTGTTTTGAGAAAATTTCAAAAATACAAAAATGTAAAATTAGTATTAATGCAATAATTATGACCACATTTTCCCCCATTGAATATAATTGTTTTTTTTTTTTTTAAAGCTGTATTTCATTTTGGAGTCAAGCCTAGGCCTCATAAAATACATTTTTGAAATGAGATGGATGCCATCTGGTGGACAAACTGAGCTTTTTAAAAATGCAAAACACATGTATAATCTGAATTTTTTGATGTGTTTGTGTATAAAAGTGTGTTTGTGTGTGTGTGTGTCTGTTTTGCACTCCTGATGTTTTATAGATTCACCCCTTCACTGTTGAGTTGCTGATTTGTAGATGTACGCACAAAAAAACTCAGTATTTTCACATTTTTGCTAATTTCCCATTCATTTCCTATGCGGGTCATTTTTGACCCGAAGGTCCTGAGTGTGACTATTTTTTTTACGACCACTTAGACTTTTCAAATCCTGTCCCCAATTTTTTTTGGGTGTTCATATACCAAGTACCATTAAAGTCACCAAGTTTCGGACCATTCCGATGGAGCTATACGATCTTTAAAAATTTTTTATTTAAACGCTTCGGGTCATTATTGACCCGAAGAACCCCGGAGGGTTAAGTATTTTTGTTGCTTCATAACATACATCTGAACCACTGTAGTCTCATGGACTATTTTAACGATGTCTTTACTAGCTTTCTGGGCCTTGAAAGTGGTAATTAAATGGCTGTCAATGAAGGGTCAGAAAGCTTATATTTTTGGGTGGCTAACCTTTTAAAGGTCGACTCTGAGTTCACGGGTTCTCCAGCATGGTTTTAAAACATTTCTATTAAACATATGATGTATGATAGTTGTGCATGTGGTGATTGTAAAGCGTTCTCCTGTGATTATTGTGATGTGGTCAGGCGCTGCCTGTGCTGGTGGATCATCTTCATCAGGCGTCTGTGATGGAGTCGTCTCTCCTGCTGTCTCTGATCCGCTGTATCTACTGTTGTCTGATGCTTCTGGAGCGCAGCACACAGGTACCAAACACACACATGGCCCTTCACACACTAAATCAGAGAGAGATTTAGGATTTAAGACAATTTTATACAAAATACATCACATAAAACAACCATTTTACGCACTCACAGTCACCAGTGCCTCTCACACACTAGACCCCGATCGAAATATTTTTTGGTTTTAAAATCCGATATATCGGCCGATATTTATTTATTATTATTTTTTTTTTCAGAAACACGCAATAAAACATTAACAGATTTCCCTAACATTAGTTATTTGTAGTTATTTATGAGTTTTAGCTAAAATAATATGATAAAGCATTTTAAAAAATAAACTTGTTTCTTTTATTGTCACAACATAACAGAGGAACATCAATAATAATATAATAAATATTTATTGTAATTTTTATATGTAAATAAATGTAAATATGTAAAAATGTAAATAAATATTTACAATAAATACAATAAATATAATTACAATGTCAGGTTAGCTAGTCTATGATGAGCAATAATTTAGCAATGGATAACGTCATACTCCGAATTGTAAAACATACATTTTCAATTTAACAGGCCGAGGAGAGATGATTGAAGCGCGTTTCATCCGTTTTTATTTTATTTTTGAAATATTCATTTATCGGCCATTATAACTGCCGATACCGATAGTTTGGAAAATGTCTAATATCGGCCGATAATATCGGTCTGGCTCTATCACACACACCCCATCTCCACTCAAACAAAGCAACATTATCAGTGTATTTGTAATATGTATGACCTAAACAGACCATATCAACTTCCTGTCCTGCATTTTTACGCTGGTGGGATTTCAAAATGGGTAACTTAGCTTGGCCAATTAAAAAATTGGCAAGAACACATTGCTGTTGCCATATATATATATCTACATATATGTTTATGTATTACTATTGCTTTGGCAATATTGTGCTATTTTACAGTCATGCCAATAAAGCTCAATTGAATTGAATTGAATTGAGAGAGAGAGAGAGAGAGAGAGACCTTTCATATCGAGCTCGAACACCGAATTGACTCCTCTTTCGCGTTTACTTGCCTTTAAACGGACACATAAACACAAAATAATGTCTAAATACCCGTCTTGGCACATTTTCTCTCGGTAATGTCATAAGTGAACTGTTGAGAAACCGGATGTGTGTCAGTTTTTTCAGTCCGTGCTCTCTGTCTTAATATGACAGCATACATCTAATATTCAGTGTCAGTAATACAAAAAAAATAAAGTCCAATAATAACAACAATACTGATAAAAAAAAAACAATAATATTAAAGGAGTAGTTCACTTTTGAGAAAACATTTGCTGATAATTTCCTCACCCCCATGTCATCCAAGATGTCCATGTCTTTCTTTCTTCAGTGGAAAAGAAATTAAGGTTTTTGATGAAAACATTCCAGGATTTTTCTCCATATAATGGACTTCAATGGGGTCCAAACGGTTCAAGGTCCAAAAGAGAGTTTCAGATGCAGCTTCAAATGTCTTTAAACGACACCAGACGGTGAATAAGGGTCTTATCATGCGAAACGATCGGTTAGTTCAAAACTTATTCCAAAAATGTAACTTTTCTAAGGACAAATGCTAGCCTTGCTCTATTCTGTGAGGCGCGTTTGTAACGTCACGTAATACGTAATTACGTTCAAAAGGTCAATGTTTACAAGTTGAACGCATAGGTTGAACGTGAAAACTAACTCAAACGCCGTTTACAAAAAAAGGAATTAAAAGGTAAAACAACGATGTCGGACGATTTTGATTCTGTACTTCCGGCTACGTCGCCCGTGACCTTTTGAACGTAATTACGTTAATACTCACAGAATATAGCAAGGCTAGCATTTGTCCTTAGAAAAGTTACATTTTTGGAATAAGTTTTGAACTAACCGATCGTTTCGCATGATAAGACCCTTATTCATCATCTGGTGTCGTTTAAAGACATTTGAAGCTGCATCTGAAACTGTCTTATGGACCTTGAACCGTTTGGTTCCCATTGAAGTCCATTATATGGAGAAAATCCTGGAATGTTTTCATCAAAAACCTTAATTTCTTTTCGACTGAGGAAAGAAAGACATGGACATCTTGGATGACACCGGGGGCGAGTAAATTATCAGCAAAAGCTCTTTCAAAAGTGAACTACTCCTTTAAATCAAACAACCCTGTGTGTTTTTAAGAGCTCCACAATCTGAGGCAGGAGATGTTTCATCATCATCAACAACATCAATAATGATATTATTCGAATAATCTAATATCGTTTATTCCAAGCTGCTTTATTTCCTTCAGGCGGGCGGACGGGCACCCCAGTGCCTGCAGTAGTGTGTGTTTTAACGCCACATCTCGATCTCTCTCTCTCTTTCAGCACGCTGTCCTGACGTCCACGCTGAGGAGGCTGGGTGACGAGGTGTCTCGAGGGTCATGTGACCCGGCTCGCCCACTGTTTAAGAGCTCCTGTCTTCACACACGCTTTCTGTGCAGCCTCATCATCATTAAAACCGTCAGTCAAGGTCAAACCAGTCCATTCAGCTTTAAATACATGGAAAATAATAATTTCTTGAAGAAAATAGCGTCATAGTCCAGCTTAGTGATGTTTCATTTTTGTTTGTAAAAAAGTTATTATAACCGCTCTGGAGAAAACGTGATGTCATCATCCAGCTCAGTTCAGTTCTCATATAATAATGTCAATGCAGGCACATCAATAATATTGTTGAATATTAAATGAAATGTCCCCAACTAAGCAAGCCAATGGCGACAAAGGTGGAAAAAGGAGTAAAAGCATGTGTAATATTGTCCTGAAACGAGTCTAATAGACAAGAATCACTCAGGGAAACCACAGTAATGATCATGCAGTGCATTTAGTGTTTTAATATTTATTTCTGGTAACACTTAATATAAGGTTAAGGTTAACAATAAGGTTCCATTCATTAACATGTTCTAACAATTTAAAATACTCCTAAAGCATTTATTAATCTTACTCAATATTAATTTAATTAAAATGCATAAAATACATTATTGAGATCAAAAGTTGTATGTTTTTGTGAGCATATATACTGAATAATTAAATTGTGTATAGAAATGTGAAGATAAATGAGCAACTGCATTTTAATTATTAACAAGTTCAATTAAACCATATGAAAAATATTTGATATACAGGATATATAAAATATGAGGGAAGAACTTGATTACGGTATTTATCTGACAAAATTATTTGGCAAAAAAAAAAAGACAAACTACAGCTACAGATTTTTATTTTACTGTGCAAAACAAATGCTTACAAACAAATATTGATTACAACACAATCAGTTATTAATATCTCACTGGTTCTCTCTTGTTTTTGCATGTGTTCATAATTTCTTGAATGACAGCCTGGATATAAAGGATGGTGGCACAATTTGTCATGTTTCATTGCGTTATTATCATTAATAAAACAATCGACTCCAAGCACAACTGCGCAATATTACTACAAAATATTTTTATTAGGCTGGAAATCAAATATATATATATATATATATATATATATATATATATATAATAAAAATATGAATTGCATATAAAAATACGAATTTATGCAACAATATATATATATAAACACACACATGCTCGTGGTTATGAGCAACTGTTGTTCTTGCATGTGTTTGGTGTCACTGTGCAGCAGGTGGCAGTGTTGTACACGAGTCTGCAGTTTATATGGTTAAAAAACACACATAGTCCATTTTCCATTAATAAATAGTCTATATCTGACACCAAAAGTCATAGAAAAAATTGGAGATGCATCATGGAAATGAATAACTTATTGAAGCCATGAACATTCCTATAGAAATGGCTCAAGCTGCATTAATGTCTAAAACATCTCATTAACACGAGTCTAATCTCTATTCTACTGTTAAAGTCTTCAATCAGAAAGTCTCATGGCATTAAATGTTGCATGCACAACAAAAGATGCAAGTCATCCTTGTTTTCCAGCACAAATATCGAAACATTCTTAAATCAAGATACATTTACTGAAGAAGCAAAATTCGATTTTTTTTATTATTCAATAATGCAGTATAATACGGTTTATCATACAACAATAAATAAAGATTCCTTGAAGAGTAAATATGAATGATTCTGTGTTTATATATTTGCATTTTTATATATTTCTAAAGCGCTACAGATCGTTTCAAAGCAGCGTCACTGTGATAAACAGGAAAATAATGGAATTAGCAATGCAAACTTGATATGAGAAGTTCAGCTGTAAAACGGCAGTGTTGGTACTCAGATCAGTGTTGAGTTAGTTTAGTTTAATGACTGTAAAGTTCATTATGAAACGAGTTAAGTGCAGCAATGACAGGAGTGTCATCCAGGGCAAGGCAACGTTTATTCAAGTGCTTTACAGAGAAAGGAATTAAAATAATCACAAGATAAAAGCAAAGTTGAATTAAAAGAGTAAAAAGAGGATACATAGATATACTTCTCATGTGGGAAAATACCGGTGTATCATAAAAGTGCATCTATCCATCATAAAAGTGCATCTAGCCATGATAAAAGTGCATCTATGATAAAAGTGCATCTATTCATGATAAAAGTGCATCTATGATAAAAGTGCATCTATGATAAAAGTGCATCTATCCATGATAAAAGTGCATCTATCCATGATAAAAGTGCATCTATTCATGATAAAAGTGCATCTATCATCATAAAAGTGCATCTATCCATCATAAAAGTGCATCTATCATCATAAAAGTGCATCTGTCCGTCATAAAAGTGCATCTATCCATCATAAAAGTGCATCTATCCATGATAAAAGTGCATCTATCATCATAAAAGTGCATCTATCCATCATAAAAGTGCATCTATCCATCATAAAAGTGCATCTATCCATCATAAAAGTGCATCTATCCATCATAAAAGTGCATCCATCCATCATAAAAGTGCATCTATCCATCATAAAAGTGCATCCATCCATCATAAAAGTGCATCTATCCGTCATAAAAGTGCATCCATCCATCATAAAAGTGCATCCATCCATCATAAAAGTGCATCTGTCCATCATAAAAGTGCATCCATCCATCATAAAAGTGCATCTGTCCATCATAAAAGTGCATCCATCCATCATAAAAGTGCATCTATCCATCATAAAAGTGCATCATCTATCCATCATAAAAGTGCATCTATCCATCATAAAAGTGCATCTATCCATCATAAAAGTGCATCTATCCATCATAAAAGTCTGTCTAAATGAAGGTGTCTTGACTTGTTCTCCTGTAGTGGACGTTCTGGCTCAGGCTGTAGACGTGCTGTCATGTGCGGTGCGGACCGATGAAGGACAGGCGCTGTTCCTGGAGTACCGGGCTCTGCCGGTGGTTCTGGTTCTGCTGAGAGGAGGGAGTCCGGGTCTGCTGGCTCGGTCCACAGCGGTGCTGACACAGATGAGCTCAGAGTCACGTGAGAAACACTTCATGCTACACGCCGTTGTGTGATGTCCTCTATACTGAAGGCGTGTGAATCTGCTGTGTGTGTTTGGAGAACCACAACTATGGTGATCATTAAATGCCATGTGGTGATCATCTTTTAATGCCACGGGCTCCCAAATATGATCTAAAATCCTAAAATTTCAAAAGGCAACTATATATTTTATAAGTATAAAAACTACTGTAAAATAATGTTATGAAAATGCGTAAAATATGTTTACCTCATATTTTTTTAAATTAAATTTAAGCCATTTTTTATTTTTTTCAGCAATTTAATTTTTTTGTTTTAATCCAATTATTTATTTTTAATCAAATGTATTCACATATTTAAATCAAATTGCGTTTATTTTATTTTAATCAAATGCATTTATGTATTTTTATTTATTTAAATAAATATTTATTTATTTATTGAAAAGAATATTGTAATTTTTTATCAATTAATTTAAAAATTTTTTTAGTTAATCTAATTATATTTATTTATTTATTTATTGAAAAGAATATTGTAATTTGTATCAATTAATTTAAATATTTTTTTACTTAATCTAATTATTTATTTTTTTTATTTATTACTTATTTAAATCAAATTGTGTTTATTTAATTTTATTTAGTATAATTAAATGCATTTATGTATTTAAGTATCTTTATTAATTTCATTAAATGTTTGCTTATTTATGATTTATTGAAAACAAATGTATCTGTTTTGGTCTTTAAAACGTATATATAACTATTTAAAAAATATTTATTTAAATCTATTTTAATTTATTTAAATAAATTATAATTTAAAATAATTATAGAAATATTTTTAATCAAATGTTTTATTTTGTTGTTTTTATTTTTTTCAATCCAATTTTATAATCATTTTTGTAGAGTTTTTTTTATTTATTTAATCTTTTTTTTTTTTTTTTTTACTTTTTCATGGACCCCAAGCACTCCCTGTGGGTCACTGGACTGTTTGAAAACCAGAGCATGCTTGATTTAATTGAGTCATGGTCTTTGTGGTTCAGTAAAGGCGGTGTACAGTATCAGGTCACTGATGTGATTTTGATGTGGTGTTGCTCATGTTCAGGCCCGCTGGACTGTGAGCTGCTGAAAAACACTCACGAATCGTAAAGTGAGTGCGTTTACGAGAAGGGCCAGGAATGTGCCTTTCACCTTCTTACGCGTGACACTGAACAGACGTGTGTAGCTTTACAGTGAGCTGGCCTGGCAATTAGGGAGCTTTACAGGAGGATAATTATGGGAACGTGTGAAGGGTGGAGCTGAGGTCACGTCTCAAGGTCAGCTGTGGTTGTCTGGTCGAAGCTTTAATGTGCTCCATGTGTCCTAAATCTGCTCAGACTGAAGACTTTAACAGACGGCCTGAGATCAGACTCGCGTTAGACCTGCAAGAGAGGTCGGACAGCAAGCAGAAGTTCAGAAATTAAAGGATTAGTTCACTTTAAAATGAAATCTCCCCATGATTAACCCCCCCTCAAGTCATCCTAGGTGTATGTGACTTTGAGCGAATCTTTTTTCGTAACGAAATCAACGAATTGACTCTGGAAAAGATTCGTTCATTTTGATGAATGAGTTCGAACAGGAGAGTCACGAACTCTCGCAGTGCACAGCAGGGCGAGCATTTGAGCTTATAAAACTTAAACTTTGTTATTTATTTATTAAATGAGCTTGATAAGACCCTTATTCATCGTCTGGAATCGTTTAAAGCCCTTTGAACAGTTTGTAGTTTTGGACCCCATTGAAGTCCATTATATGGAGAAAATCCTGGAATGTTTTCATCAAAAACCTTAATTTCTTTTCGACTGAAGAAAGAAAGACATGGACATCTTGGATGAAATGGGGGTGAGTAAATTATCAGCAAAAGTTTTTTTAAAAGTGAACTACTCCTTTAATTATGTAATGCATCACTTGCATATTTCATAAAACTGTTTTCATGGGAGGCCGTTTCTGTGTCTGTGTGTCTCATAACCGGATTCCTCTTTCCTCTACAGTGTTGTGAGGATCGAGTGTGGAAATGTTTTCTGCTCATCTAGATTAGAAGCAGTGTTTCACGCAAACGCTTTAACGCCATGAACCCACTCCAGACGATATTACAGAGTTTTCCACAATAAGAGTCCCTGAGTATTGTCCTCTGTCCATCAGGGTCGCTGTCGGCTTTTCTGGATCAGTGCAGCACTGAAGATTTCTTCCGCTGCGCCTCGGTGTTCCTCCGTAACCCTCGCGTGGAGCCGTCGCTGGTGGAGAAGATGCTCATGCTCCTCCAGAAGCTCTCCAGTATCCGGTGAGGGTCTCCTCCTTTAACACTGGGGGTTTCAAACGGGTCCAGGGGCATGCAAGGGGACAAAACTGTGTAATAAAACAATAAACAATAACTAAAAAAAACCCACATTTGATAAAAAAAATTACATTTGATTCAAATAAGTAATAAATTAAATTATATTAAAACATTTAAATAATAAATAAAACATAAGATTAAATTTTTTTTTAAATAATAATAAAATAAATCAAATTAATACATTTGAATCAAATGAATTTAAAAAAAGGTATTTATTTAGTTAATTGGTCTTATTATTTATGTAAATAATATTTTTATATTTGAGTTAAATAAATCACATTTGATTATAATAACTAAAATATTAATGAAGTTAAATAAATAAATGTTACAATAAATAAAAATAAGATTAAACCAATTACCTAAATAAATATATTTTATTAAAAAAAATTAAGATTAATCACAATTGATTCAATTGACACTAGTAAAGTAATAGATTTGAATAGAACAAATTTAAATAAATATAAAACTATTATTTAAATAAATAATAAATAAAATTATACTAACTAAATAAATCACATTTAATTCAAATAGTTAATAAATTCATATATTTGAATACAATACAATAAAATAAATAAAAATATAAAAATAATGAAATTCATTTTATTAAAATAATAATGATCACATTTGATTCAAGTAACTAATAAAGTAATAGATTTGAATAGAACAAATTTAAATAAATATAAAACTATTATTTAAATAAATAATAAATAAAATGAAACTAACTAAATAAATCACATTTGATTCAAATAGTTAATAAATTAATATATTTGAATACAATACATTAAAATAAATAGAAATATAAAAATAATGAAATTCATTGAATTAAAATAAAAATGATCACATTTGATTCAAATAACTAATAACATTTGACTTAAAGAAAAAATATTTAAATAAATAAATAAATACAATTTAAATCAAATAAATAACATCAGTATCAGTACAGTACTACACTAAGTAACGTAACAGAAACTAAATATTTGCCAAATAATATTTTACACAATATTCAATCATAATATATTTTTTTTACATTATCTCTTTATGCATGAAGTCCCCCGCACGAGGATGATAATTTGGGGGTCTGTGGCTTCTAAAAATTGATAACCCCTATCTAACCAGCAGGTAGTCTATCGTGTAGGCTATTTCTGCAAGGGAAAACGACTTATTAGTTTAGTTTGGTTTTTGTAAACAGATTTCATTGAGAAAGAGTCGGTCCTGTTGAAGAGTCATGTGTGTATTGGGAGGTTCATCTGCTATTCTGTTTGTTTGCAGGAAGAACAAGCGTCTGTTTGAAGTGTCGTCGCTGCATTTGCTGCTGCAGGAGATGCACCGAACCGCTGACCGTTCTCAAACCTTCCTCATCATCAACCTGAGCTCCATCCTGCTCAATCTGGGCATGCTCACACGCTCATAACACACTCATAACATGTTGCCCATTGTGCTGAATGCCGTCTTTCACACTGAACTGGATGATTACACCATCAAGCTCCTAAAAGGACGTTTGCAGTCGTATCACAGATCTGAGATCTGGGTGTGATGCTGTTATGATACTCTGATATTCTGCCAAACGCTGTCTTTTGTGTTTCACAGAAGAAAATCTTATGTAGTGCAATTTTATTTATTTTTGTATACATTGAAATAATGAATTAAACTGGTCTCTGATTAGATTAGTGACGTGGTTTCATTTGATCGTGCATTGCAAAAATATTTACGCCTAAATTTAAGATTTATGTATCTGAATTGCATCGCAAATTTCCATCCATTTAGATTACGCCCTTTTTAACTAATAAACGTAATGTGATGCATATAATATCATTGATGCATTTCATTTCCATACAGATAAACTAACTGCACAGCAAGACATATTTGTGCATACTTTTTAACTGAATTAATTGCTTTTACAATCATTTGCATAAATGCATTTTATGCCATAATTTTTTTTAAGTACAGAAATCCTACCTGATTAATTTATGCATGATCTTAAAGGGTAACTAAACCCCTGGTCAGAGCCTGACTCCACCCACTGGCAATATTTGAAAATGCAGAAAAAGTGGGCTGACCCAAGCGGAGATAGAGGGGACGAAATAGATGCTAAAACACTCTATCCTGATCGTTTTCAATACTCACAATCCCAATTCCTGACTCCCTACAGTGGTTTTGACGACACAAGATGGCGTGGTGAGCTGAAACGGGAACATCCAATAGGAAAATTCAACTGCAGTAGCCACCGTTCAACCTGAAGAGGGCAGCACTAAGACGTTTTCACACCATATATTGTAGAAATAGAACACTTTATAAACAAATGTCAAAAAAGTTACTCGAATCAATGACTGGTTGGTATTAATAAAGATCCATTCTTACAGATCATTAACTAAAAAAAGTTTAGTTGGTTTAGTGTTAGTTACTCTTTAAGTTCATTAATTTGTTTGATAACACTGTAATTGTATTGAAGCAATTAAATCTTACATTTATAAGTGATATTAATATGACTCAATGGTTGAATATTCACATTACTTCTCTATAACATGACTGTTTTGAAGTGTTAAAATCATAGATATGTATATAAAGGCTAGACGTGTTACGCCGGAGTTTCCATCGTCATTACTGGCGGCCATCTTGTCACAGACAAGCTGATGTAAGATGAGTGGTCAGCACGAACACAAATACTCTTATCTCGTTGAAATCTTGACGGATTTACAAACGGTTTGGTTTCTTACAAACGTTATTAACGTGGCTATAATTATCTGGATGATTTATTTATACACTTTTTATTCGTAAGTATGCAGTGTCATAACTACATCTCTGACGTTTATAACAAAACAAACCGTTTGAAAATCGCTAGAAAATTGAGCAAGTTATGGTCATTTAAATAGTACATGTACCATTAACACAATGTTACGAGTGAGCGAGTTGCCTGTGACAAGATGGCCGCCAGGTGCAGACGTCGACCTCCATTGGCCAGCAGCGCGGACGACATATCTAGCCTTTATATGGATATCTATGGTTTCAACAATGAGTGTTTTCAAACAGGTTTCCTCGTGATACTCCCCTGTCTGTCATTGGTCAGTTACACAGGTGAACGCGTGTGATTGGTTAAGCCAGAAGTGGACATGTCTGACTCTTTAAACTCACGCACCACAAACTATATGAACAGAATTACTCGCACCACGCGTGTTAAAGGATTTTATTCTGTCCAAATATTGTTTTAACAGGCATTTATGTGTTTAAAACGTCCATTAAAACGCGTTTCTGTTATTCAAATGTCCTCGCGCGTGGAGCGCCTCTGTTTTCGAGCTGGTCCGGTCGAGCTGGACTGGCGTTTGTTTTTTTCCCCCTCTTCTGTCACGTTGTTTATCAGCATGATGAATGCTTGCGAAAGTGAATGAGTTCCAGGCCTGCGCACACTGATGTTTCGTCCAGATGGAGCTGGGTTTGGTTTGGACTGGACCGAACGTCTCTGAGAGTCTGTTCTCAATCACATGTTCCTGTTGTAATGACGAAACCCTCTGCTAGACACCGAATCTCACACTGGCTCGGGACGCTTCCATAATTCCTCTATATAAAGGTAGAGTTGCTTTAAAGCCGTATTACGCACATGTGATGTAATATTAAAGATTTGAACTCTTGATTTCTTGACTGTCTGAGAAAGGACTTAATTCTCCATCCCGTCGTCTTTTGCAGTGTTTCTTCAAGGTGATCTGCGTCATTTCTAGCGTCACCGAACAGAACCGTTCTCCAGTGTGTTTGGTGTAAGGTTTGGTCTCGAGTCGTTTTAGGATATTTTCTGCTAAAGTGAGTAAAGGACAGGTCACACGGGTCATACTTCATAGAAACTGTCACTGAGACGAATGAGAACAATAACAGATAGAGATATAAACATTTATTACACACTTTTCACTTCCACACACACAGAAACAAGCACACTTTGAAAGTTCAAATCATCAAAACTGAAACTATTTACTAAAACGGGTTCTTTGCACAATATTGAACTTTTTTACAAAATTATATAATATACATTTTTACTATATATATAAGGTGTTTCTATTTTACGGAAGCCCTGAACCGCAAGGTGAACAAAAAAAGAAAGAAAACTTATCTCGTTATTTCGACATATCTCGTTATAACAACATAATATCTCGTTATTTCGACATAATATCTCATTATTTTGACATAAATATCTTGTTATTTCGACACAATATCTCATTACTTTGACATAAATATCTCGTTATTTCGACATAAATATCTTGTTGTTTCGACATATCTCGTTATTTTGACATAATATCTTGTTATTTCGACACAATATCTCATTATTTCGACATAAATATCTTGTTATTTCGACATATCTCGTTATTTTGACATAATATCTCGTTATTTTGACATAAATATCTTGTTATTTTGTCATAATAAGGGGCGCATTCTAAAATGCGTTAAGCTACATTTAGCGTTCTTATAACATTGAGTTTCTGTGCTATAATATTTTAATATGCTTTAAAGTGTAATTTATCCCTGCTGAATTTTCAGCATCATTACTCCAGTCTTCAGTGTCACATGATCCTTCAGAAATCACTCTAATATGAGGATCTGATGCTCAAGAAACATTTATGTTTATTATTGTTGAAAACAGTTCAACAGGATTCTTTAGTGAATTAAAAGTTTAAAAGAACAATATTTATTCAAAATAGAAATATTGTCTAACAATATAAATCTGTATCACTTTTTAATACATTCTTGCTGAATAAAGTATTAATTTCTTTTAAAACAGGAAAAACACTTCCGACCCCAAACTTATATTGTTACAAAAGATTTCTATTTTAAGTAAATGCTATTTCATTTTAAACTTTTTATTCATCAAAAAATCCTAAAAACGTATCACAAGGTAGGCTATATATTAAAAAAAATATTAAGCAGCACAACTGTTTCCAACATTGATACAAAATCCTCATATTAGAGTGATTTCTGAAGGATCGTGTGACACTGAAGACTGGAGTAATGATGCTGAAAATTCAGCTTTGCATAAAAGAAATAAGTTATATTTTAAAGTATAGAATAACATTATTTTAAATTTTAATATTTCACAATATTTCAGTTTTTTCTGTATTTTCCATCAAATAAACGCAGCCTTGATGAGCAGAAGAGACTTCGTTCAACAACATTAAAAATAGTAATGCTTCCAAACTTTTGACCATGTGTGTGTGTGTATTATACATATATATTTATATTAAAATAAATGTTAATGTTATACAATGATTATAGTTCCAGGTGCACGTCATGTATTTATTAATGTAGTCATGATTAATGTACTGAGATTAAATGTAGTCATGCTGAAGTCATGCTTAAATGAGTATTTATAGTGTTTTGTACTGATTTGCGGTTCTCGGTGACACGTCATCATGCTTTTATGCCATTAAAATGAGAGGAAAAAAGGGGCAAAAAATGCCAGCGGAGTGAATGTTTTATTGGCACAGTATTGAGTTTCAGAGCATCTTTTATTAGTTTTAATAAGCAGCCCGACAGTTATAAGTAGCTCTGATTCCCTCACTGATCTGTCAAAAGTCTGATTTATTCCTTTTCATTAGTTCAAGACTAGTGTTTAAATGCTTCATAAGCTCGCTTTCATATCTGCGTTTGAGACGTGCGGCAGAACGCTGGTTTGTGTGATTTATATTGGTAGGTTCTTGGCTGACCGTAGCGGCAGTGAAAGCCATGTTTCAGGCTGTGTTTGTCCTCATTAAACATTTATTTACATTTTAAAGTGTTCATACTTCAGCAGTCATATCATTATAGTTGCCCATCTCTATAACACATATAAAGCCACACGCAGCCCGACTCTGATTATAGGCTGTGGTGTCAGGCCTCGGCGTTATGAACTGAACGACGAAACGAGACTTTTCTGGGCACTAAACTGTGATGTGTGAACTTTGACAGGTTGATGATGATGTTGCATTACAGCTGTACATTATTAACTTGAGCACGGATCATCACATGACCAGATGTACATGAGCCCTCAGTGGACGTTTGAAATGTACTGAACACACATATACATTCACTGAAATAATAAAATATACACTGATATAGTACTCAGTGCATTGTGGGATATAGTACCTAGTGCAGTGAGCATTGCATTGTGGGAAATAGTACCCAGTGCATTGTGGGATATAGTACTCAATGCATTGTGGGATATAGTACTCAGTGCATTGTGGGATATAGTACCTAGTGCAGTGAGCATTGCATTGTGGGAAATAGTACCCAGTGCATTGTGGGATACAGTACCCAGTGCATTGTGGGATACAGTACCTAGTGCAGTGAGCATTGCATTGTGGGATATAGTACCCAGTGCATTGTGGGATATAGTACCCAGTGCATTGTGGGATATAGTACCCAGTGCATTGTGGGATATAGTACCCAATGCATTGTGGGATACAGTACCTAGTGCAGTGAGCATTGCATTGTGGGAAATAGTACCCAGTGCATTGTGGGATATAGTACCCAGTGCATTGTGGGATATAGTACCCAGTGCAGTGAGCATTGCATTGTGGGATATAGTACCCAGTGCATTGTGGGATACAGTACCCAGTGCAGTGTGCATTGCATTGTGGGATATAGTACCCAGTGCATTGTGGGATATAGTACCCAGTGCATTGTGGGATACAGTACCCAGTGCAGTGTGCAT